TTTTTTTTTTTTATGCTTTACTTTTCAATTTTTATTTTCATATTCTCAAAGTTTATTGCAAATTTTCTTCATCGCTCCTCTTTTCCTCCCTCTTTCTTCCCGCAACTTAAATGCATTGAAATATTTTGGGGTAAAAGTGTAAAAGATAAATGGTGAACAGCGTTGTTGTTGAGAACGGCAAAATGGTTTATTGGCATAGCACTAAAATTAATTTTAGGCAGTTACGTGAAAAATTTTACTGATTATATATCATGTCTTGTTTTTCTGTTCTTTTTTTTTTCCTTCTATTATCATCTTCTTGTTCTTTTTGAAGTTTACTCGTTCAATCTTATTTCTAATTATTTCAAATTTGTTTTTTTTTTATCTGTTGTTGCTGTTTGCATAGAAAAAAGTAGAGGAAAAGATGGAAAAAAAAAAAAAGAAAAATGAGGAACAATTTATTTTTGTCTTTTGTATATCATTGAACAAAAAAAGGAGAATTGTTGGCAAAGCATAAAGATTGATTTAAGACAAAAAAAAGAAAAAAGTATTGACGTGATCAAAACTAATGTTTCTTTTTTTTTTTCTCTCGTATTTATTTTCTCTTTTCTTTTCTTTATCGTATTATTTCTAAAACAACATTGTTGTAGCTAACAATTACATTCACCGTCATCCAAAAGAAGGGGAAAAAGACGAAAAAAAAAAAGTGAAAAAAAATTATTTTATTTTTTAATAAATATTCTATTTTACAGGAAATTTTACGTAATGAAAAGTTGAACCTTCCAAATCGGTCTGTCTTAGAAGAATTTATTCGACAACGGCAAAAGTGTCGCTTGGAACGTTTGCATAGCGAACCGCCGCTTGCCGAAGCCGACGAAAGTCGAGCAGATTCACCTTGCCTGTCTACAGCATCGGAACTGCTTCCAGCCTGTGCAGGTGCCAAAATGATTATTAATGAACTGTTCACAATTTATTGCTCTTCCTTTTTTTTTTCAAAATAAAGGAACAAAAATTATTCTTCTCATTTTAATTATAGC